TGTGCCAGGCTCCATGCACTGTCCCCAGGATCCAGCTGGTCATCACATTCTCCTGCCAGCTCCACCGCCCCGGTCACACACACACACAGTTCTGCTGCTCCCTGAGATAGATGCTCTGACTGTGAAGCCTCTCTCCACCAAGCTCCCCCCAGGACTCACATAATTAGCACAGGAACCCAGGAGAAGAGCACAGATCTACAGCTGTGACAGGGGAGGGAGGAGAGAGACACAGGAGAGACAGCACAGAGTGAGAGAGAGAGAAAAGGAGGAGAAGGATGGAGGGAGCACAGGAGGGAGGGGGGGAGCAAGGAGGAGAGAGGAGGAGACATATAAGAAATATAATGAAAAGGACTCTGAACACAGAGAATACACAATGATCCAGAGGTGTGACAGGTATATACAAGGAGGCGATGCAATCCACACATATAGAAGATAATAATGTGTAGCTGACAGGTGTGATGGCACAGATCATTGTACATGGAGATGTCGAAGGAAGGCACGTGGTGCAAGCCCATCCTTGTCACAGGGACCAGAAAGGCTGATTTAGATTTTTAGCGATAAACATGTCAATGTGAGCTCCATATGGAAAAATATCTTATTAAAATATGTTCATCATTTATTTTTTCTACGTCTAGTTTGGATTCGTATATCTGATATGGGACGAAGTATGAGGACAGCTGTCAAAATGATGGAATTCAGGTGTCTCCAGTGAAGTGTTAATGCTACAACATACAAATTGGTTGTAGACAGTTGTGATCTTCCAGCCTTGTGTTCACAGCTTGGTGAAGGCCACCATGACTGTCCCCTGTGTACAAAGCCAGCTCTATAAGGACATGGTGTGACCAGTTTGGTGTGGAAGAACTCTGCGTCCTGCACAGAGCCCTGACCGCAACCCTACTGAACAACTTTGAGATGAACTGGAACGCCAATTGTTAACCCGGTCCTTTCATCCAACATCAGTAATGACCTCAACCCTACTGGACACATTTGGGATGAATTGGAATGATGATTGTGAGCCAGGACTTCTCCTCCAACATCAGTACCTGACCTCACACATGGGACAAATTCCCACAGACACCTTACAAAATCTTGTAAAAAACCTTCCCAGAAGAGTGGAAGATGGAATAGCCACAAAGAGTGGTGTGGTAGTGGGGAGCAATATTAATGGCCATGGTTTTGAAAAGGGACATCTAACAAGCTCATATAGGTGACGGTCAAGTGTCCACAAACTATTGACCATACAGTGTATAGTATATGAGGCAGACATATTTGCACTGCTGCTTAGCAGTGTTGTGTCTCTGCCCCTCCCACAATGCAGAGATTTCCTCCAGTAGTTTGTAGCTCTGCCCCTCCCACAATGGTGAGATTTCCTCCAGTAGTTTGTGTCTATGCTCCTCTCACAATGGTGAGATTTCCCCCAGTAGTTTGTGTCTCTGCCCCTCCCCCAATGGTGAGATTTCCCCCAGTAGTTTGTGTCTCTGCCCCTCCCCCAATGGTGAGATTTCCCCCAGTAGTTTGTGTCTCTGCCCCTCCCCCAATGGTGAGATTTCCCCCAGTAGTTTGTGTCTCTGCCCCTCCCCCAATGGTGAGATTTCCCCCAGTAGTTTGTGTCTTTTCTCCTCCCACAATGGTGAGATTTCCTCCAGTAGTTTGTGTCTATGCTCCTCTCACAATGGTGAGATTTCCCCCAGTAGTTTGTGTCTTTTCTCCTCCCACAATGGTGAGATTTCCCCCAGTAGTTTGTGTCTCTGCCCCTCCCACAATGGTGAGATTTCCCCCAGTAGTTTGTGTCTCTGCCCCTCCCACAATGGTGAGATTTCCTCCAGTAGTGTGTAGTTCTGCACCTCCCATAATGCGGAGATTTCCTCCAGTAGTTTGTAGCTCTGCCCCTCCCACAATGTTGAGATTTTGTGTCTATGTAGCTCTGCCCCTCCCACAATGCAGAGATTTCCTCCAGTAGTTTGTGTCTATGCTCCTCTCACAATGGTGAGATTTCCCCCAGTAGTTTGTGTCTTTTCTCCTCCCACAATGGTGAGATTTCCCCCAGTAGTTTGTGTCTCTGCCCCTCCCACAATGGTGAGATTTCCCCCAGTAGTTTGTGTCTCTGCCCCTCCCACAATGACGAGATTTCCTCCAGTAGTGTGTAGTTCTGCACCTCCCATAATGCGGAGATTTCCTCCAGTAGTTTGTAGCTCTGCCCCTCCCACAATGTTGAGATTTTGTGTCTATGTAGCTCTGCCCCTCCCACAATGTTGAGATTTTGTAGCTCTGCCCCTCCCACAATGGTGAGATTTCCCCCAGTAGTTTGTGTCTCTGCCCCTCCAATAATAGTGAGATTTCCCCCAGTAGTTTGTGTCTATGCTCCTCTCACAATGGTGAGATTTCCCCCAGTAGTTTGTGTCTATGCTCCTCCCACAATCTTGAGATTTCCCCCAGTAGTTTGTGTCTATGCTCCTCCCACAATGGTGAGATTTCCTCCATTAGTTTGTGTCTCTGCCCCTCCCACAATGGGGAGATTTCCTCCAGTAGTTTGTGTCTCAGCCCCTCCCCCAAGCCGATAATGAACATGTCGCTATTACATTGAGTATCTCCAATTTTTTGGAGCTTGATGATCAGACTAGTTGGAAACCTTTGAACTTGCAAGATTTTGATACCTTTGAAATTCTGCATGAGGATTTGTGCAGTCTTCGGAGAATTATACAATTCGCTATTGTTCCTATTCGCTATCCGCTATCTGGGTTCCTATTAGATCTGACAAACCTAAATGGAAATATTTAAGCCAATTGAAGAATTGATTACCTGTATCACCGATAATCCTGATCAGATCATTACTGATGGAAAATCAATCAGAGAATATTATATATATATATATATATACGGTATATGAGGAGCTGCTCTGTATTCCTGTAGGGATGATGGAAATGAACACGCAGTGACTGCAGCACCGTCCCCCTCATTGTCTAGTTAGTTCAGTTTAATCTCTTTCTGCATTCCTGCCAGCTACGCAGATTATGGATCAATTCAGCTGAACAGGTCCCAGGCCCGAGGCATGCCGGGCGCACAACCATCTGATAGGATATAGGTCAGGACACAAAGATGGAGGAGATCTGGCTGCGGAGAATGGTGCATTGTGGGAGGAAAAACTCTCTCACGGCTAATAAAGCGAGCAATAAAAGTGGAATGAGATCAGGGCGTTGTAGAGAAGACGGATACAATGTACAAAAACGTGTATACTTGTAAAGATCTACACTGCAGTTACATAGTATATAGAGTCTGGAGATGGAGATGGAGAGTCTGAGTATATAGAGGTGGAGAGTCTGAGTATATAGAGGTGGAGAGTCTGAGTATATAGAGGTGGAGAGTCTGAGTATATAGAGGTGGAAAGTCTGAGTATATACAGGTGAAGAGTCTGTGTATATACAGGTGGAAAGCCTGAGTATATAGAGGTGGAGAGTCTGAGTATATAGAGGTGGAAAGTCTGAGTATATAGAGGTGGAGAGTCTGAGTATATAGAGGTGGAGAGTCTGAGTATATAGAGGTGGAGAGTCTGAGTATATAGAGGTGGAAAGTCTGAGTATATACAGGTGAAGAGTCTGTGTATATACAGGTGGAAAGCCTGAGTATATAGAGGTGGAGAGTCTGAGTATATAGAGGTGGAGAGTCTGAGTATATAGAGGTGGAGAGTCTGAGTATATACAGGTGGAGAGTCTGAGTATATAGAGGTAGAAAGTCTGAGTATATAGAGGTGGAAAGTCTGAGTATATAGAGGTGGAAAGTCTGAGCATATACAGGTGGAGAGTCTGAGCATATAGAGGTGGAAAGTCTGAGTATATAGAGGTGGAAAGTCTGAGTATATAGAGGTGGAGAGTCTGAGTATATAGAGGTGGAGAGTCTGAGTATATAGAGGTGGAGAGTCTGAGTATATAGAGGTGGAGAGTCTGAGTATATAGAGGTGGAGAGTCTGAGTATATAGAGGTGGAAAGTCTGAGTATATAGAGGTGGAAAGTCTGAGTATATAGAGGTGGAAAGTCTGAGTATATACAGGTGGAGAGTCTGAGGTTTTTTTTAACCTCGCTCAATTCGGAGCTCGGGGCCTTGGAAATACATTTTTGGAATATACATGTCTAGAATGCATCCAGTGTTACCTTGTAGCAGTAAAATGTTATGTGAGAGAGACGGATTGAAGATATTGTGGAGGAAATTTTGAACTTCTAGGCCTCTGGCCTGTAAAAGAATCTATAAAATAAAGTATGAAATACAGCTCTGTGACTCCTAAGAATGCACACACATGTACATCCCCCCGCACACACATGTACATCCCCCCGCACACATGTACATCCCCCCGCACACATGTACATCCCCCCCGCACCTCCCCATTGCCACCAAAAACTCAAAATCACTTACAAAGGTGGAAATGTCCTTTAAAACGGAATTGAATCAAAACTTTCTTTCTTTGTTGCTTTTAATACAGTTATTAAGGGCTGCCTGTGTCCCCTCTGGGAAGATGTAACCTCACTTCCTGTCCTGGGTGACCACACTCCAAGCATGGGAAATGTTGATGAACTTTGGTTTGCCTGTGCTGAAATCAGCCTCTAATATCCCCATGCGGCACAGCTAGTCAAATTAGCTTAAACCCAATCCCATCCTCCCCTTGCCCCACCTGGAGATTCCTTACAAGTATGTTATGATGGGTTTTTATCATTATTATTTGCTTTTTCCAAAGTCTTCAGGCCAGTCAGGTTATGCTGTAGGGTCGTATTCCGGTTTACCTCTTGTTTGGACCAGGCGGTCCTCACTGATGAAGAGGCGTGATGATGCCAGCACATTGTGAATACAGGTGGCAGCACCCCATCAAGAAGTGGGCCCATGATGCCTTGCACTCACAGTATGTCCTCAGTCTTCAGAATGATGCTGGGCATCTCAGTACTCCTCTGAAGAGCCCTCAGCCCTGATGCAAGCGGTGGGCGGGCTCTTGGGAGGAGTTATGCAAATATCAAAATGCCTTGATGGGTGGATGTCAGTCCGGAGGAGGAGGGTGTCCTTAAGCTGGTTGTATTTGCATGCAGACCACCCTAGGTAACACCCACATGTGATGCTGAGCCTCCATGATTGAAAGAACTGAAATCCAATGAATGAAAGAGGCGGGGTCAGGAAAAGTCAGGCAGGGGAGGAAAGTCCGGCATGGTCCGGATGCCCTCGAGCATCTTCTGATGCACATTATGAG